GAGAGAGAGAGAGAGAGAGAATGTGTGTGGGTGAGAGTGAGAGGACTAGTATAGCTTAGGACCTAGGATTAGAACACGACCACATCAGCTACGCTGTATATAACTTATCTTGTATAAATAAATGTTATTATTATTATTATTATTATTACTGCGCACATTACGTAATCCACAGGAGCTCCAACGTTTTCAAAAATATAAACAACAACAAAACGAAATAAATGCGTGATCATTGTTGTCATCATTTTGTTTTGTTTTTTTGTTGTTTTGTTTTAATAGCAATTTTTTCTTGGGTGTCTATATGGGATAGTTTATTAGTACTGTGAACATAAGAGTGAAAGTTGTGAAAAGGAGAAAACGACGACTAGATGCAGGGCTGTCAACTCTCCCGGATAAACCGGGAGTCTCCAGATTTTGGACCGGGTCTCCCGGTCTCCAGATTAGAGTCTCAAATCTCCCGGATAATCGCCGAAGCTGACCATTTCTTGTGAGACTCGACTTTTACAACCATAAAATTCCAATTATTTCGTGTTGTTTGTGTTATTTTACATCGCTAACAAAATCAAAACATTCCTCGTAAACTGTTCTTGCAAGCAGGCCATTGTAATATAAACGATACTCTGATTGTTCAGAAATAAACCAATCACATCAAATGTTACAAAGTGAATGACGGCTTTTCGCGCGCTTTTTTCCGCTGTGACGTCATGTCCCTTCGCTATCAATTCTCCAGATAAGAATACCTCGGGGGTTGACAGCCCTGTAGATGGTAGATTTGTCAGAAATAGAGTACCGATGAAGCGACAAAAACTAGACGAAAAAGATCAAGCGAGAAAAACTTGAAAACAAACACAAAATATTATTGAAGGAAAGCGAATTTTTGAGTTAGATTACCTGATGGAGCAGTTAAAAAGTGGGTGTAGTGAATGTAAAGAGGCACTTCAACTTCATGAATTGATCGACGAAAAAAAGTTTGGACTCTTGGTAGTTTGTTTTACATTCAATGCAAATTCGGAGTTTTAAACTGAAATTTCACCTACTATAAACCACTCAGTTTCTTGATATGAAAATCTTGAGGCTTTATTCAATTCTCAGTTATCCCTACAAGGTTTTCTTATTGCATTCTCTAGAACATTTAGTGACTGTATTCTTCCAGGAGTTTTTGCAGTAGTCGGCCATGTTTACCATCCCATAATGCAATGCTAAGCCACGTCTCTCAGGGGAGGGGGTGGAGGAAATTTGTAACCATAGCTGGAAAAAAGCTTGAAATCTGATATTCAAAAAATTATAACTACAAAAAACGCATGGCGACCCCAGTTTTTTATTTGCTTGGTATGCTTTTTAAACACTTAAGATAATTTTGAATGTGTTATTTCAAAAATAAAAATAGTTTTGGGTGGTTTCTTTTTTGATTTTGTGTTTTTGTCCAAAATTGAAATTTCACCTACTTTTGCACAAAAGCAGATATAAAATGTACTTTCATCTTTGCAACTTCAAATCTTTTTATTAATATGAAAAATATTTATGTTTAAGATCATTTTAGGCAAAATTTCGAAGTACTTAGGCCAAACACAAGGGATATGTGATTTTTTGAAGTGCTTCAAAATGCGCTCACGTCATCGGGTCATTAATGACAATTATATTGCTTGGATGCGTGGGGACCCCCAAATTTTTTCACGTTTTTAGATAACCCCTTGGGTACTCTAAATAACTGACACAGTTTCATTCAATAAAAATGGGTCGCGAACTGTACCCACCATCCTTAAGATATCTACTAAAAGTATATTTCTTGGGAGAAAAAGGGATTTTTCAAGAACGAAGTTTTCTCTGTTTGAGGTCACGAAGCCGTCGAAACAAGATTAAACACTTCGTCGTCAGATCGTATAGCAAGAACAATACCTTAATTTTTCTTTCCTTGGGCAGTTCATGGCAAAAACCTACTTTAGATATCTACTAAAAGTATATTTATCCACAAGTTTCTACTGTTTTATTCAAGAACACTGACGCAGTCTACACTAGTTCTCTACTAGTTATCATTCACTTGTATTTCTTTATAAAGTACAGTAGATTTGCAGGTGTTGTTTACTGCAAAAATTACTTCCCAAATCAAAATAAAGAAGTTTCGCTTAAATTTGTTATTTAAAGAAGGTTTAAGTTGGATGACGATTTATAAGTTTATATAGCGCCTTTTCTATATAATATAATCAAAGGCGCTTTACATTAAATTTTTATTTCTAGAATGTTTTTTATTAATAATTTCCCTTGATTACATTTTTCCCTTTTACAGATAAACGAAGAAAGAGAAGATCACATAACGAAGTGATCATTGAAGTCGGATGTCAAAATCACGAGCTCATATGACAGGGTTGCTTGGATACCGGAGCGCATGCGCAACAAAGAAAACGGCCTAGACCGGCCGTCGCCTATTTTCTCTGCCAAGAATCGCCAACGAGGGAGACTCTGCTAGCAGATTGTAGTGGTATTGGAAATTCTACATCTTTAGAAAGACTTCAGCGGCGTGCTGCAAGGATTGTTACTAGAATAGGCGAGAGTGATAGGGCCTTAGATGTAGTTCATTGGTCCACCCTACAAAGTAGGCGTGACGACCACGTGTTCAAACTTGTTAAGAAATGCATTAATGGGAGTTGCCCGCAATTTTTCAGAAATTATTTTACTTTTAATAATGCTATACACAACAGGTTCACTAGACAAAGCAATATGTTACATTTGCCAAGGGTAAGAACCGAGTTGGCTAAGAAATCATTTTACTATAATGGATGTAAAATTTTTAATAGGCTACGATCATAGTTGATGGTTGTTGGGCCTTTCCCAGATTCGCTTGGATGCTCGCGGAGTGATGGCCACGGGTCGAGGTCGGCTTTGATTTGGTTTCGGTCTCGGCTTTTGGCCTTTGTTCCGTGGGCGTCCTGGCGAATTCGGGAAAGGTCTGACAACCCTTTATATGTTAGCTTTTAGGTACTTACATTATTAGATTTAGTATTGAAACTATATTGTAAATAGTATTTCATTTTAATCGTATTAGCTTTTTTTAGTTTCTATTTATTGTAAGTTGAGTATGTGTATTTAACAGGGCTCCTTTTGATAGCAGGGGCATTTTGCCACTGAATGGACTACCCTGTTTTTTTATACTTTTTTGTTTAAATAAAGGTTTCTACTCTACTACTCAGATTAAAGGTCACCAGCATTTAATATTAAACTTAATATAATCGACAACTTATTCGATCAAGGCTCTACACGGTACTTGTTCAGGGTTCCCAGCCATTTTGAAAATAAAAATTCCCTGACTTTTCGCTGACTTCTCCCTGACTAAATAACAGTTTTCACTGACCTTGTTGAGCCGCATGGACAAGCATGGGCTACATGTCTAACTTACCTAGGCCCTGCTTTTATCGTATTACACAAGATACCCAACGTAATTAAACTGTCCGGCATAAAATGATACTAAATATTTCAATAATTTTTCCATTTTTTGAAAAGATTTATCAGTCTATTCGAAAATTGCAAACAGTATGAGTATCACACGGATACTCATGGTTACCTTTAAACAAAATTCCCKGACTCTTTTGCTTTGCATTCACGTTTTGCAAAAGAAAGCCTCACTTTCGTTGACAAGTATTTCAGAAAACTTTAAACTATAGCTAAATTCATTCAAAGGTAAACTAAAACCTCTTTTTCTGAGCGACTCAGACATGCATGACTTGTGGCACGTACACTGAGGAAGCCCTTCCAATGCAGTTCTCGTTTGACAATGCAGTTCTCGTCTGTCAATTTTATKTTTTTACTTCTTTTTAAACTCAGTGCCTTGCATGCCATATAATAAATATCTTATTAACCTCGTTTGCTCGGTCCGTACCATAAGTTATGGATCCTCGTTTTCCCCCACTTTTATAATGGCCCGCGCGCTACGCGCTTGGGTCAAAAGTCAGCGGAAAAAACTCGGTCCATATCTTACGGTACGGACCTCGCACTCGGTTAATAAGAGCTACAACATAGCGCGGCACGAACACTTGTTTGTCGATTTGTGCCTCTTGTAGCGATAAGTAAAATTTGAAAAATTATTTTATTCACTTATGATTAAACCTCGAAGACTCGCGTCTAGGTAAATATTCCCCGATATTAATTTTGCATTCGGCCATTAATATTTCTAAATTTTTAAGATCAATATTAAATGTAAACGAATTATTTGGTATTATTTTCAAGAGTTCTGTGCAAAATTGGGCGATCAATTTATTTTTTCAGTAAAATATGGCTCATTTTTGACCGCTTTTCATGTTTACGTTCTTCTCGCGTTTTTACCGTAGAATAGTGAACGTCCACGCATTCTGTCGGCTAAACGAAGTCGGGGCCTTTTACCCATAAACTTCCTTAATTAATACTTAATTATCGACTTATATACTGCCTATATATGCAGCCAAAAATTTACCAGTGCAATATTTATTTTATTACATAGTTCTATGTAAATAAAAGAGAATGGGTTTTTCTGTTCCTTTGTCGATCCTTGATATCTTGCCTCGTTCCAGAGTGAATAATTTCACCCTAATATATGCAAATTAGGTAACTGATGACGCCATTCGTTGTGCTCAAATTCAAGCTAATACACAGAGGAAAAATAATTCTTCAAATATAAAGCAGATTCCAATGCAACTGTGCACATTTATAGCATAAACCATAATACTCACTACTGTGTTGCTATGGAAACAAGTTCGGTTCGGTTTTAAGTTTTAAAAACATTCTCGTTCCCAGACCCTACTCATTAGCCAAATCATTGGCTCTGGGAAACCTTACGGACCGGAAGCCAGAATCTTGCGACTAGGTCGTCAGAGCGCATGATCTATCTCAGGATCGCTGATCATGAAATACTGGCTCAACCTTTTAGCCAACGGCTTGTTTACGTTTTCTATTTGAAAAAAGTATATATGTTCGACAAATGGAAATACGATTTGGAGAATACGTTTTGGCTAATGAGTATGGTTTCGGAACGAGAATGAAAGTACATCATCTGTGTGTAACATGGAACCTATTGTGGTTTATCTATCTGTATTGTACATTGCATGGCTAGACTACCATTGATACTGTTACAGTAGGCTAGAGATAATACATCATCTGTGTAACATGGAACCTATTGTGGTTTATCTAGCTGTATTGTACATTGGATGGTTAGACTACCATTGATACTGTTACAGTAGGCTGTAGATACTACATCATCTGTTTAACAGGGAACCTATTGTGGTTTACCTATCTGTATTGTACATTGGATGGTTAGACTACCATTGGTACTGTTACGGTAGGCTGTATAAAGTACATTATCTGTGTAACATGGTACCTATTGTGGTTTATCTAGCTGTATTGTACATTGGATGGTTAGACTGCCATTGGTACAGTAGACTGGTGAAAGTGCTACACCAGTTTTCATGACGTCCCATCCACTACCTTCTAGTTCTTCGTAAGAAAATACATCATTTTTTTCAAATGATATGTCTTTGAAAGGATTTTGGCTCAACACCTTCAATCTGAAAAGCAAGATGTTCCCGCACGTATCAACTGGGGTCGGAGGTGCAAGAAGACGACTTTCAAGGACGTAACATAAATAAAATTGATATAAAAAAGAAAGAAAGAATTTACAATATTAGAAAAGGGACTTTAAGATTTGCAAAATGTACGACGGCAACGTCAACCGGAAGTGCAAATAACTTAACTTCAGGGTTCGGGCGTCTTCAAAGTCTGTTTTTCCTATGGATGAGTTGACTTTACTAACAATGTTTTAAATGAAATCTCCAATGAACAGAACCCTAAAGAGAAATTATTTACAATTCCGGTTGACGTCGCCGTCGTACATTTTGCAAATCTTAAAGTCCCTGATATTGGAAGAGCGACGGCTTCTTGCATGCCAAATGTTTAAACTACTTACTCTACTGCTATATTACCAATTGTAGAATATAGGGGAGTGAAAGTTGTTCAGGGTTGCTTACCATTTACCCGGAAAAATGGAAAATTCCGGTTGGAAAAACAAATGGTGTGTTTCACACTGATCGAAAATTCAGAAAAACTCTCTGAGTGACGAAGTACTAGTGCGAAGTGGCATGGCTATAAAACAAATGGAATTCTGTAGATACTAGAAATACCCACCTGAAAAATACAGATATCTGACCATTGGGTACCACTACCATAGAAGTGCCATGTGTAGAATCATTACAACAAGCATGTAGATACAATGTCAGGTATCCTTTATTATCTCTTTCGCCATTAGGATATATCTTTAGATACCAACAGTAACCACACAACCAGAATGTAGGGCTTCTGAAGAAATGGACATTCCGTTTCCTTGCCTGGGATCGAAAGTTTTGTATTTTCCATGTGTACGTATTGGGAATTTCATCTTTAATTCTTTCAAGATTGTTCTTAGAAAGCAACAAGATATAAAGTTTTTCTTGAAGAATGAATTATTCAATTGAAAAATTTCAGTCAATAGTCCCCTTCACAGTTCCCTGCGCCATCTTGAAAGGTAGCCGTGCCTTTGCATCGAAGCGACATGCAAATAATTGTCAAAGGTGTTAAAAAAAGGTCTCTATCATTGCAAGCTCACCGTTCGTCTCGCTTCGATGCAAATGTACGGCTACCTTTCAAGATGGCACAGGGAACTGTGAAGGAGACTATTGAACAATTTCAGCCTTTATGGTCTACGAGTCAATAGCCCGTGAGGCCAAAGTTTTAGTATAAACCTACTACTGAATAGGTCAAATAAATGATGAAACAATAAAATTAGGTTGAAATAATATATATTTGCGTTGTTTTGATTTTTAATAGATCTAGCAGCTACACTAGTACCTCAACCAATCAGCCGATCAGAGCGCAGGATTTGTTCGACCAATAGTACGTTTATATTAATTCTACTTATGAGAGAGGCTCTATTAGGAGTGTACACTGCATCATCAACCCGCGAACGTCAATTGGCCATTAAACGTACAACGGACTGAGGCAGGATCTGAATTTCAAACTTTTACATTCATTTATTTTCATAGTTTTAGTTTCTCAATTTACAATCTCGCATTTTACATATAACATACAACAACAACAACAACAACAACAACAACAACAACAGCAACAACAAAGTAAAATGATATTGATAAATAAACACATACATAACTACATGCTGTAATGTATCCCCGTTGGACCTCCATCAATTTCAAACTTATTAGAAAAAAATATCTTAAATAATATTCATATATTTTATAATTAGTTTTATATTATTGTATTTAATTAGTAATGAGTTATTGATCTATGGTCCCTCATGAAAAGCACCACAGGTGATCGATGAGGTTTCCCGATTCAAATAAATTTATTGGCATATTCATTCATCTTACCTTAACTTGGCTTAACTCTTTGTTTAACTTCTCATTCTTATGAACAAGGGATGAGCACTGATCTGTAAGTGATGTATTCTGTTTCCTAAGAAACGAACATTCTTTAGCAAGTAACATCATGTGTCCTGACATGTTTTCTTGTACGTGCTTCTCGACATCTTGGCGCTCAACCTTCACTTCACATCCTTGCTCTTTATATGCACAGTCGACCAGACCCTTTGGACAGACGTTTGACAGGTGATCAGCTAAATCAATCCTGTCAAAAAGAAATAAGTTAAAAAAGAAGAAAAAGCAGCTAATAAACCCATGCATTGTTTGTTCATTTGTCTGTGAGTCGATTTTGTTTGTGTGAATCTGGTTTTTTTTTTTGTTAATTGTTTGTTTATTTGCTGTCTTTTGTTTATGGAATTGCTTTGTTGTTTGTCTGCGCTTGTTCATAATTCGCATTTTTGTTTTTATATCTGTATATTAATAGAGATTTTTATGACTTCCTGTTTTCGTTGTTGCTTAGATGTTTGGTTTACTGTTCTTGTTTTCGTTTTTAGTTTGATTATATTGATTGAACTTTTTATTAAATATATGATAGGAAGAAAAATGTGCTGAAATGTTTCTGTCGTCGCCTCAATATACCTTTTTATCTTTTTGATAATCTCCTCCTCATTGTTCCTACATTCATTAGGACATGAAACGAGGGCCTGTAAGCATTTATTTGCCTTGTGCTTCTCAAGATCTTTTCGTGGTAAATTAAGACCACATTCACTGCAATCAATCAACTTTTGCTCGCATATCTCATCGTGGTCTTCCATCTTTCTTCTCTGTATCTTTTCGTTGCATCCGTGTGGACATTGCATCTCCAGGAAAGGACAAGTCTTTCTGTGTTGCAAAAGATTTTGTAGTTTGCCAATCCACTCACATCCCACTTTAGAGTCCCCAGCTGTGCATAGAAAGAATGAAGAATTTGTTTACTTTTGGACTAATTTCTACACACTACCGAATGCGTGGTGAAACTGCGTGTATACAGAACGGCTATCAGCCAACTGGAGTTTGGAAAATGAATAATCGTAAATGAAGGACTTGGGCTGTAAATATTTACCTTTAATCTCTGACGTAGGCAATTCATTTTGAAATGACTGGGGGTGGCAGTACACATCAAGATTATCTATGATTCCCCTGACCGTTAATAAACGAACAAGCTGCTTTTCCTCAAGTGACCCGTTATCCAGTGGGCATTTCTTGTTCGTCTTTAGCCATGTCGTTATGCAATCTTTGCAGAATGTGTGGCCATCTTTACAGCTCACAGGATCTTCAAATACTTCATGGCTTGGAGGATTAATGCAGAGAAAATAAAGTAAATTTACTGCTTATCTGAGTTGCACTGTTACTTAATTGCTCAACCGGCGACCGACCTCGACCGACCGATCAACGACAGACAGACAAATAGACAGACAGAAAGACAACCAGTCTACCAAACAAATAGAGAAAGACAGACAAACAGTCAACCAACCTACCAAACAAACAGAAACCGACCGACCGACCGACACACAGACACACAGATAGACAGACTCTCATCAAATCCACCAAACAAAGAACAAATTCTAATATTTCAGCTATTATACATTTTACTTAAGGCTTCAGATTTATTATCATAATTAATCCCTGGTATATGTGAAATAGTATAACTTGCAATTCGAAATAATAATAAAAACATTTGTAGAATATTTACAGATTAGAAAAAAATTTTTTTTGGCCTGTCTCAGTAATCAGTTGTTTGTCCGTAGTAAGTTTGCACATGAAAATTTCAATGAAATCTGATGGCCGCTTTATCGTGTTAAAATTGCCATAATTCTTCAGTTTCCGTATTTATCTGAATGTCCAAAACCTCCATTCCTTTCCTTGATACAGTCTTGTCCTTTCTACAATCCATCTTTTAAAGAATTTTTAGAAAACAAGCAGAGATTCCAGCGAAACTTTGCCATGCACTTGTTTGTTTTTCGCTACTCACTATCAGTATCACAGGATAGATAGTGAGTACGTTAGCCAATCAAATTGCAGGATTCGTAATAGCATGCTAGTAGGCTTATGCTAATTCTTGATAGAATACGAACTTTGGAGCTAGCTTTCTAGCACACCTCTTTGATGTGTTCGCTAACATTAAGTTTGTCGTCAATCATGACTCCTAATACCTCTAAAGTGCTTGTGCATCTTATTTCATCATTATCGACTACAACACGTGCTTCAGATGTATCCTTGACTCTGCTAGACATAACCATCGCTTTAAACTTATCTTTGTTTGCTGGAAGGAAATTATTTTTATAGCAGTCGACCATTGTCTCAGCTTCATTGTTCAGGGTCGTTACGACGTCACTAAGCACGTGATGATATAAACAAATCTGATGACCATCAGCGTACATAAATAGATCACACCCTTTAACGCTGTAGCACAGATCATCACCTCAGTACCTCATGTTCCTTTGTAGCAGACTTTAAATCCAAAACAGTTTATATAAGTACATAAATATAGGCTATAAGAATGAATGTTGAATGAATTTTTTGGAACCGCTTTATCCAGAGGAGGGTGATCAAGTCGCGTGAAGCATTGTGGGTTAAAAGTTTCATTACGCTTCATTTGCATTTGACTCGCCCCATGTAAGGGAATCCAGACTTATGGTGGATTCCGGATTCCAAGCGCTGGATTCCAGATTCCGAGACTCTGCATTACGGATTCCAAGGGTCTGGATTCCGCATTCTAAAACCTTTGTATTGCGGATTCCGGATTCCATATCGTTAATTTTCAGAAACGTTCTCTGAAAATTATATTTGATATACTTGCTAGTATAAGTAGAATCGACTATCAATTAAATCAGCATCCGATGACAGATATTCTTGGTGGAGATATTACTCAGTGGGGTCAGGGGCTACATCGGTTCAGTCTAGGTTGAGGCGATAGCATTTGAGTGTATACTTTGAATTTCAAAGTASCGGATTCCGGATTCCAAAAGGGTGGATTCCGGATTCCAAGGCCTGGATTCCGGATTCCAGAGTGCTGGATTCCAGATTCCAAAGCCTAAATTCTCGTGGATTCCGGATTCCAGATTCCCTTACATGGGGCGAATTTGACCGTCGTTGTGTGAACATCTCCTGGCGAGAAAGTATTACGAATGCCAAATCTGTCTCACCGGTTTGGTGTGGATTTTCTTGCAGTTGGGGATTTTCTATATCTACACTGTGTAGAATTTCAATTTCTACATACTTGTACGGTGAAGTCTCTGCCATTTATGTCGATAAAACTATAGTTGGGGGCCAAGTTAGCTTCACTGGCAACCCTCGCGAATGACTGAGGATTGTTTTGGTTCCTGACTGCCAAAAAATCCGAGAACTAAATGAGAAAAGGTGGCCTTTGACCATAAGGGCTGTTACTTGCTTCAAAATAGTGCTAAGTGGTGGATATTTAATTTGATAACTTTATACAAACGCGATTGATTGAGATAGAACATCGAGCATCCAAACAACCGATCGGCTTGAAATCACATACCCGGCCACTAAGATGACAAACCTTCAAAAATATCTCCTAAAACCATTCATTTCATTACATACATTCATTTTTAATCAGTCATTTCTTGTCAAGCTTAGGTTCTTATCATTGAAACTTTTTGTTTTGGAATAATTATAAAGCGTTCTTATTGTCTCAGGGTCAATATTGAAGTCTAAAGAAAGGTTATGATAAATTGATAAACTTTGCATTGTAAATTTAATAGTATTTAATAGTTTAGTTTCTATTATACTTATATTCCGCGAACATGACAGTATGTTTTCCCTTATATTTCCACTGGCTCAAACAGGAGAGTTTTGATTATTGAAAATGCAGATGTAGAAAGTAACAGCACACAAAGTAACGCATAATACTAGTAACAACGGCCGACTTGTGAGCCGGGGTCGATGACAAGTATCAGATTCTGACAATTCTCAGCATTCTGCCGATAAATTTCCCAATTGCATCAATAAAAAATCAATAAAATAAAACAATAACAAAATTACGATTTCATTCCTTATCTGAAACGATTTAGTGGTGCCGTGTTTTCATGTGAAGGGATGGTAGCGTTACGCGGGTGATTCCCGCCATCTTGACAAGATATGCTTGATAGGTGATATAGTACCACGCACAACATTCAGAATAACTCGGAAACGGTAAGAGGTTCACCGGGGTTCATCTCGATATTTTTCATTATTAGGAATTAAAGCTTCAAAATATTTACAAATACAGACATGTTATCCATCGTAAAACCAGATGACAAGCGATAAAGATGCACGATATTTCAACCTTCAGTGTCAGCGTGTGAAAGCGATGGCCATCGTAATGTTATAAATTTGCATAGAAATATGTCTTATCTGGAAACGAGACTTGTTGTACAGGAATTACTGCCATTAATCCATGCGACAGTCAAAAAGTATGAGGTTATGATAAGTAATATGAGGGGAAATTAATGATTCTTTACGACGACTAAGAAATTCTTGTGATATTTTTTGTTGCCTGTGATCATGATTGTGATTGGTCGATTAGGTCACGTGCCACTTGATCACCCTCCTCTGCGCTTTATCGTAAACGTGGCTCTTGGCTCTGTTCTCCTTACCGATCTTCGCTTGTTCGTGCATAGAATACTGCTAGAGTAGATGAATCATGAATAGTCAACCAAAAAAAAGCTATTGTCCATGAAATGCATTGAAAATTCTTAGAATTATTCACTTTGAAGCAATGGTTTGTGTATACCAAGTTGTTTACTTCGATAGAGTTGTACTGTATCAATCAAAGCAACTAATCAAGCCTACAATGTCTAATAACTAATCTAGTTAATAAGAAATTATCTATTTATCTAGTTTTTAATGTCAACGTTTGCACAGAAAAACGTTAAAGAACGTTGTTTATGACCGAATTTCTTGATTCCGTTTGGGCTCCTGTGGTAATCACCAAATTTATATTAGCTGAGCCAAAATCACAAACCAAGAAAATGAATCGATGTTTTGCTAATAATTCTTCAGTTTCTTGTTGTTTGGAGCAAGGAATGATGACAAAAATATTGATGGCTTTGTAACTGAGAGCACATGTATATCACAGGAAGCAAGAGCCCAAGCAATGTACTCGTACAGTATTACAAAAGAATGTATGTGGAATTATATATCGTAAGAATATCTAAAGTAATATTCGTAGTTACCAATTTTTGCTTGTGTGTTCTTGATGCCGTTATTTGTCTCTGTACGCGAATTGGAGCCAATCCGACGATTTTATTATATAATAAAACTTCGCGTTACAAATAGAGTTTTTTCAAAGCCTCTCTCGCAAAAAAGTAATCACCTCAATTAATTAATAATGATATCTAATATTTTATCTGAGTATTTTTATATTCAAAACTCCCTAATTTCTAGTGATTTACAATCAGTCTCGACTTCCATATTCGATATTTGATATTCCGAATCGGGTCCTGTTTCTTCATAAATAACATCAACAAGCTTTTACTTACCATATTGAACAGAATAGGTTTTCATCGATGCTTTTTAAAAACAATTCTGCCTTAAAACCCATGATAAAACCTTGAATTTAATACTCCAGTTCTCTTAACGTATGTTAATAAGGTGTAAGAAAGAAGATGACTGACACGAAATTTCCAAGAATTGCTTTTTGTATCCAGACTGGTATCCAGACCCTACTCACAGGCCTGCCAATTTGTGTCATTGCATTGGTTGGGCTTCCTGTGGCCGGATTTTAAACGGTTAATTCCTAACGAACTAAACTTTATCCGAATTCACAAATAGCTGAAATATATTCTATAAAACTATATAAGAAATAAATATGTTTTTCTTTATGAACATTGTTTTGTATTTGTATTGTATTTGTTTTTGATTTAGGTACTTACTTTCGGCTCGATCTCGCAACCTCTCGATTTCGAAGGATGCAAAAACGGTCGAATTCCACACGCAGCCCCAGCCAAAGCAAATAAATTACCGACAAAGAGCTACTTCCGGGGTCCACTAAAGTGTGGCAGTATCTGACTCGTCCCCAGTCGTCTCTCACTTGTTTTCATCGAATCGCCCAAAGGGTCAAGAGAAGGTAAAAAAGAAGGGCAACAGATGAGACGACGTCTCTCTTCTTTCCCCTTTCCCTTGACCCTTTGCGCGCGCCCTTAAAATAAGAGACGACTGGGGACGAGTCAGACATATCCCCTGGAGAAAGCGATTTTCAAAATTCGACTTCCGATTTCTTCGTCCGAAGTTAGTCCACGAAGCTGAAACCTGGCCAGGATCTTGGAAGATTATTGGTCTTTAGTGTGCCAATGGATCTCGGCGGCGAAAGCTGCCTGCCTTGAATTGTTGTCATTTTTCTACACTAAAAAGCGTATTCAAAAACGACTTATCAAAGACCACCCTAAATCGTACCTAATTCAAAAAAAAAAAAAAAAAAAAAAAAAAAAAAAAAAAAAAAAAAAAAAAAAAAANAAAAAAAAAAAAAAAAAAAAAAAAAAAAAAAAAAGAAAAAGAGAAAAGAAAAAAACGCCAGAAGTAAATAAATATCTTAATTTCTTATTTAGTCTTATGGTATATATTTGAGCTATCTTTGAATATGAAACAAACATTTAACTAAGTAAATAGGAATTAGTCGTTAAAATCGCCACAGGAAACCCAACCAACAATCTGTCACAAAATGGTAAGCCTGTGCCCTACGGCACTTTCCAGAAAGTCCCACCAGAGGTTCTGCGAATTAATCTATAATTTGTTGAGCGGGATAGGTGCTATTTTTAGTTTGGTATGTGGATGTACTGACTAATTATGGGGAAAGTTGGAGTTAGATTTAAATTTAGATTCCTTCCCGCCAATTCAATTTGGCGTGAAAAAGCTAGAATCATCGGTGTGAGACCCGTGTGACCTATCTATGTGATCAAACAGCTGAAATAATCAAACTGCCGCATGGCAAACTCGTGCCCTCGGAAACCTAGTTGCACTCTTGAGATATTGGGTTCCCTGTGCTCCTCTTATGTCTAGTTGACAAGAGCGTTGCGTTGCGTTGCGTTGCGTTGCAGCCCGTAAAGTCCTCCACTGGTTATGAAATGTAAAGCGCATTGAGATATTTGAAATGCGCTAAATACGAACACCATCATCATCATCATCATCATCATCATCATTATTATTATGATTATTATTGTTGCTGTTTTTATTATTATTATGCATAATAAATCACTCCTTATATCTTGACCTCCTCATCTTGTCACATCTGAAACTATGTACTTATACTGTGAAATAAGCAGATATTCTATAAAAATCGGTTTACAAATATTATTTAAGATAGAAGAACTTTATTTGCACCCATCATTACAATTTTTTGTTCTAATTTACATTATTGGTTTATGTTTAAACAGATCGAGGGGTACCAACTTCAAAAAATAACTAGAAAGCTAAATAATGTAAAACAGAACTTGTCAAAAAAAATTAGAAGTGGATTTGAAAACCCCGGGCTTTCCTGAACATTCCTGAACTAATAGGAATTTGTTAAAATTTAGAACCGTATTTTTGCTAATTTTATAAGCTCATACTATCTGTTGGCTATACATTCGCCTCTTATGGTTTCTTAGGTTTCGTAGCCCCGCAAACACGCTAACTACGGTAGTTAGCAAATGAACAGAAGATGTACGGGGCATTTCTCAAGTATGTTTCAAAAATCAGTGTTATAAGTCACAAGAAAAAATTTCGAGTAATTTTGACGTTTGGTTCCCGAGTTATGAAATTTGAGTTTGTGTGACTCAGTACCGTCACGTGTATCTATATAAATAGCGATGAAATTATTAAAATATGAAAGATTATCCCTTAGACACGTTTAAAATATCTATCTAAAGTATATTTCCGTGAAATATAATCAAAAATATTGAATATTCCAACATCTTAAGCTGGCCTTTGAAGTTTCGCCTACCATATTGTTGCACCAACTTGGAACACCAAGATGGCCGCTTCAAATATTTTGGTCGAAAAAAATGCGTCATGTTTTAATTACAATGTGACTGATCAATTAGATATTTTGGTTGCCAGTAAGCTGTAAAAATTATTCAAATGGCAGGTTTTTGAAGCACGAATACTGCTAGAGCGTCCGCCAGTTTGTTTTGGGGACTTTCGCGCATGCGCACGCGTTTTTAAGCCGTGTCTCTGTATTGTACATTGGATGGTTAGACTACCATTGGTACTGTTACAGTAGGCTGTAGAAAGTACATCATCTGTGTAACATGGAACCTATTGTGGTTTATCTATCTGTATTGTACATTAGATGGTTAGACTACTATTGGTACTATTACAGTACGCTGTAGAAAGTACATCATCTGTGTAACATGGAACCTATTGTGGTTTATCTAGCTGTATTGTACATTAGATGGTTAGACTACCATTGGTACTGTTACAGTACGCTGTAGAAAGTACATCATCTGTGTAACATGGAACCTATTGTGGTTTATCTAGCTGTATTGTACATTGGATGGTTAGACTACCGGTATTTCTTGTATCACAGGTATATTTCGATGTTACAGTATCTTGTTGGCCACAGTATGCTTCAGAAACTGCATCATCTGACCTCATAAATTTTGGCCATTCTATGACGCAGCATTCATACCTGCTGTCAAAAAGTACATTGCTTTTTTCAGAAGAGACGTCTTGGAATCCAGTTGTTTGGCTCATCACTGATAGCCTAAATAAATGGAATGGATTGTCATGACATTAAAACACAAGTGTCAAATATCTCTTATGTCTCCTTGGCAACGAAGACTAACAGCTAGGTCTTGTTAATATCGAGATATTTCCAATGCTAGGTTTATTATGACATTGACTATGACTGCTTCGTTGGGTGTAGGGTCACGTGACCTAAGTACAAATGGCCTATCGTTATGGCAACCATTCAGATAGTAACAATATACCCTGGTGCCTCCCACCGAAGAAAACAAGTACGGTGAAAGGGTATGCATTTTTGTAATCACTTTTGTAATTTGAATAACAATATGGCGTTACCTGCATGTGACAGAAATATTACTGCTTGGCGTCGGAATCTCCTGAATAAAATAATCTTTGTAGGCAACGACAGAAGACTCCCTTGAACAACAGTTGTCACTGTCCCTGCAAAGATATACGGATACGAATCCTATTTTATCTTCGTTAACTCCATTGGGGTAGAGCAGCAGAAACCAATTATAACCACACAACCAGAAAATAGGACTTCCCACCTTGGTGATGGGATCAGCATCACTAGAGTGCCTTCTGCTGCATCCTTCAGGATAATAGTCTCGGTAATTTCTAATTTTCCATATATATGTTCTTGAACGTTCTTCATTTTTCTGTTAAACAAGTGTAATGTCCACTTAGAATTAAGTAGTTTAAATTGGGTGGGATTCATCAT